GTTCCTTCCTTTCCTCAGTCAACAGAAGCAAGGTTCTGACACAATATGGCAATGCTTTCTTTGTTGTGGCTCTGAAGGTTTTTGTTTAGCTTTTTGGTTTGTTTGTTTTTTAAACCTTATTAAACATATACTTATTTTCCACTGCCAAAAGTGCCAACAAAAGGATTCTGCAACTGGAGACAACAGAAAACTAACAACAGCTATTGACAAGATAGACACAGCATGAAGGATACATGCATGATGATAGAATATATAACCAAGTCCTAGTTTTTGGTTGTGCATAGAAACAGCAAGGAAAAAAGACAGTCTAAGTCCTCTTTTGTGGCGATAGTGCTGTTGAGATTTATTTTTAAAAATTTCTTTTATCAGTCAGTTCCACAAGTCATTTCATTTTATTTGTTCACTAGTTCCCTCGTTTTGTTTATTAGTTCACTCAACCAATATTTACTATATTCAGAGCACTTTGGCTGGATACTCTATTTTTTACTTTTTTTCAATAGGATTAGCAAGATTTCAAAAAAGACTTGATTTTAATACCATTAAAAGAATGCCAACTGGGTGAAAAAGGTGAAGGAATTAAGAAGTATAAATGACCAGTTTTAAAAATAGCCATGGGGATGCCAATTGAGCATAGGAAATACAGTCATAGTATTGTAATAACAATGTATGGTGTCAGATGGGTGCTAGACTTATGTGGTGATCACTTCTTAAGCTATATAAATCACTATGTAGTACACCTGAAACAAATATGCATCAACTGTAATTAAAATTTTTTTTAATTAAAAAAAAAGACACATGAGAGGAAAGGCTAACCCTAAATGTTACTCTATCCTTTTTTACTACACCTTCCTCAATTCCCAGATGTAAGGAATTAAAATCAGTTCACAAACTCTCATTGGCATATCCTGTCTATCCAGACCTTTGGGAATCAGAGTCTCCAGGGAACTGAACACTCTCCAAAGATCACATGACTAGAGAAATTCCTCAAGAGACAGACAACTCCAGTGTCATTTAGATCTGCCTTTTCTCCCTTTTCACATCCTGACCATACAGGACATATACACCTGGCCTTCCAGCCTGTTCAGTCTCTACCTTGAATCATTGTACCAGCTACATCACCGTCTCTCTATAAAAGAGAAAAGCTCTAGCTTTCAGAGAAGATCATGTTTGCAAACTTTTTACTCTTGGGGATGCAGTGATGAGAAATGTTGTGAGCAGAGAAGTGGGGAGGAAGAGTAGACTGTAGAGCTGAGGAAATATCAGCTTGCCATTCTCAACACCTCTCTCTGATGCCCATTTGTTACCTTCCTTTCTCCTTCCCCTTGGTTTCCCTCCAGGCATCTCCAAGGCAGTGATGGCTCTCCTGAAGACCCTTTCATTGCTTCTGCTCTTGCTGCTGACCCTGCTGGGGCTGGGGCTGGTGCAGCCCTCCTATGGCCAGTTCATGTACCAAAGATTCCTGCGGCAACATGTGGACTCTACAGGGACAGGTGGCACCAGCTCATACTGCAACAGGATGATGCAAACACGGGGGATGACTAGGCTTAGGTGCAAGCAATTTAACACCTTCATCCATGCAGACATCGGCGCCATTAACAACATCTGCAGGACCCCCAATATCCGGTGCAGGAATGGCAAAGAGAACTGCTATGCGGGTGTCGTGAGAGTCACAGACTGCAGGCTTACAGCAAGTTCCCGGAGAAACTGCAGATATCAGGGCAGGGGCAGCTCTAGGCGTGTTGTCATCGCCTGTGAGGGTAACCCCCTCGTGCCTGTGCACTTTGACAGCTAGATACTACCCTGAAGGGGTTATGGCCCTGTGGTTGACTTTTTACTTATGCCTTGAATAGCAATGAGTAATGCATTTGAGCTATCTCAGGCTCTGCCTCCTCTGCTTATTACTCCCTTTTCTCTATATAATCCATTCTGTTAAATGCATCAAAGAGAAATGAAGACATAAACCTATAATGGGACTGGGCTTTCCGTAATAAAATTTTTTATAAACTCTTCAGCTTCCTTTTCTAATATTGGTCAGCTTAGCTCTCTCAAATCTGATCCTCTGGAATTTCGTCATTATGTGTATGATATCGCATTTCAAGTATTTTAAGGTGTTTCCATCTCGGTTATCTCATTTTAATACCACTGCACCCCTGTGATGCTCATGTTGCTACAAAAAGGGCCCAAAGTTAAAGGATTTGCTGAAGAACATGAAGATAGTGGAAAAGCTGACACACAAAAAAAATCCATTAAAAAAAAGAGTCCATTTCAACTGGCTACTAATCCAGGGCTTTTTCTACTTCATCACAGGGAGTGCTTTAAAAGTAACAGCTTTTTGATATTCTCAAAGTCAGCTGTTGGGGGAAGCATTAGATATTTAGAAATATGAACTGGCAAAATGAGAGCTCTGTCTGTATAATTTGGCAACCTTGTTATGTTTGTAACTAATAAGATTAAGAAATTATGCAGGACTTTCTTTTTCTCTTCACAAATTTTTGAATCACTGTAGTAAGTCAGAGTATTAACAATGTAGTAGATCATTAGGACTCATTCACTCTTCCTGACTGGAAAGCTTTTTCATGTTTTCTTTGTAATAAAGAATTCAAACTGCAGATATCTGTGAAGATAGTGTTATGATTTTTGTGTGGGATTTCTTTTCTTTTATTCTCTTTTAATTATTTTTTAGTTTATAAACATGCACCAACACCTCAATACCCTCATAAACTGGTCCATGATTAAAACCTATTGGATCAATGACCAGGATACAGAAACATTTGTGTCACTTACTAAAGACAATTCTAACACCTCTCCCTTTTCCCTTTGATTATTTTGAAACAAATTGGAGAAGAGAGATGTATGAAGACACTAGAAGCTAAAAATGGAAGTATGTATGTGTGAGAGAGAGTGTGTGTGTGTGCGCATGCACGTGAAAGGACTAAACGGAAAATATCTAAATTGAAGCAAATATATATTGTTTTGTATTTAAGTTGTGCAACCTCATAGAATCACTACAATCAAGGTAACTAAGGTATTTGTTACTTCACATGTTACCAAAGTGACCCCATTTTGGACTGCTTTCTACTCCATTCTTTTCAACACTACTGACCATCATAGCTTAGCCTACTAGCTTCTTCTGACAACATATTGCTTTCACACCATTGTAAAAGTTAAAAAATCATAGGCATGAAAATCCTATATAATAAAAGTGTAGTATGCAAATTTTCGCCTTGACCTGGAGTTCCACCAGGGCTGGGGCCAGCTGGGGGAAGGGAAGGAAGCCCTGGCCTGCAGCAGCAGGCCACTGGAGGAAGGGAGGGAGTACTTGTCTGCAGCCAGCAGCCTCTAAGGACCCTACCAGTGCATGGATTTCATGACCTAGGCCTCTAATTCATAAAAAAATTGTGGATCATTTTTACTAATCTATGTCACCAAACTAAAACTTAGCAAGTAACCAAATTTCAGCCTCTTCCAGAGGTGACATTTTAAACCAGTCAATTTAGAATTACCTGATCAGCACTGGTGAGGTAATCTGGCCGTTAAGACCTCTGCCTTCCCCTGAATGAAGGTGCCCTTGCCTAAAATGATTCAGTCTTCTAACTACATAGTCTCACCCTCTTTCTGCCTGTAAAAACCCTCCATTTTGTACAATTCAACAAAGCACCTTTCCAGTTGCTAGATGGCATGCTGCCTAATTCCCGAATTGCTTAGTACAGCCAATTAGATCTTCAAACTTACTTGGTTGAATTTTGTTCTTTAACTCCTGCCCCCAGGGCCTTGCCATTCCTTTGTACACAGAAGATTGTCTTTGTTGTAGGACCCCTTTGCTCCAGGCTCTTCTCAGAGTGACCCCCAGTGTTCTAGATGAGGAGATAAACAGGTGCACAGAGTAAGGCTGTCCCCTCTTCTCCCATCACCGCTGCCAATCAGTTGGAACATTACCCCTCCCACATCTATTCCTTTCTTCACTGCCTCAGACTTCTTAGCTCTAAGAAAAGGAAAAGGACATTGACTCTGCTCTTTAAATTCACACACTAATCCCCACGAAACTATGAATGTGAGTATGGAATTTGAATAAGGCAAGTTAGAGTCAGAAGGGTTGGTACTGAGCATGGCTAGGGGAAAGGCACAAGAATAGTGGAAGGGGCTTGCTTGACCTTCTAGGTGGTAGAGTTGAGAACACAGTGATCCAACTTGTAAGAAGCAAAGACCCGAGTTTAACTCAGCATTAATTTCACTAATTCAACCTCCCTCCTGCCCCAATATTTTCTAGCATAATACATTGAAGCAGCTTGAATGGTGGTCTTCTTATCCTCTTTAGGCCATTTGAGCTAGGGATAGGGTGCCACAGATGAGAACCTGCCTATCCCTTGTTCTGTGTCTGGTAGAGCACTTGAGACCCCCAAAAGTGCTCTCTTGCAAATCCCATTAGAATCTCACAGGTCTGTAAGGGAGTTACTATTAGGCTCATTTGAGGACACCAATTGTGAGATATAAAGGGGAGACTTTTTCAAACATCTCTAGGCCCTGATTTTGACCAGAGTAGCTCCTGTGAGGGCAGTTTCAATCTTGGTACTTGGTTGCTTAAAACACTATTTCAAAACTTTATGATGGTATTCTTACTGGCAGAGCAAGATCATTTAGCATGATGATAATTAGAGAAATGGCCTCTGCAAAAGCAAGTGGGCAGTGTGAAGTGCTACCATGTTTCAGGCAGGCATTGGGGAAGTGCTATGAGGAATCAAGATGAGATAAGCACCAATTGCAGTCAGATTTGATTGCAGTCTGGGATTTCAGGTTTCCAAAGCCTTCCTGCTTGCAAAATGTTTCCCAAGTCTACTCATTTTCTACCTTCCCTTAAAGTGTGACAACCTTTTTTACTTCACAGACATAAAACTCAAAGTCCCATTCTCTTTCAGACACACTCTTTTATGAGAACTCACCTGGACTGTAAAACAGAGCTGGGTAGACAGCTCCTTGTTTTGGGTGAAGAGAAGGTGTTTGAAATTTTCCAAATAAACTTCATCTATTTTCTGCAATTTTGTGCTTGTCTCACTCAGGCTCTAGCATATTTTCAGTTCTTGTAAATTTTATTATCTAACGAGATTTATCATCTTCTAGTCTAGAACCAAGTGGTAAAATTGAGCCTAATTATCTACATTGGCAGGGAAAAGAATTTTAAGGTGGAGCTCATTTGAAGACACCAATTGAGGGTAGTGTTGCAGTTATGTTTTCCTCTCTTCCATGTAGACCCACAGGTGATCCTGGTGACAGAAGTCATCCTCTCTAAAGGTCTTATGTCCTCTCTTGCTCCTGCTGTTCCCCTTGTGTGGGCTCCATGTACACAGCCAGAACCTTTCCTGGAGGAAATTCATGAAACAGCACCACCTGAGCACAAGCTGGGAATTCAATGAGTACAGATGCAATGATCTCATGAGAGAAAGAGAAGCTCCAAAAGACAGGAACTATCACATCTTCATCTATACCTTCTGGCAAAAATTGAGCACATATGCATCAGGAACTGGAGAGATCGCTACAGAAATGTATACATATGGGCCCAGTATCCCTTCAAAATAATCAAGTGTTACCGGGGGAATAACAAAAAGGGCTACAAAGAGCACAGGAGTCACAGCGACATTGAATTCCATTGTGGCATGAATGGGTTTGTTGATAGCATAGAGGACATCCGGTTGTTAGAGGTTATCAGTAACTAGAAAGTCTACCCACACCTCCAGGTTTTAATAGAGTAATTAGTGTTTTCCAAGTGGTGGGCCCTGCTCACTCAATAGCCCTTTGCTAATCACTATTTTGCATTTATGTGCCAATGTTTTCCAACTACTTTGAGTTATGTATCACATGGTTTCTTGATATCATAATTTTACCTATGTTGGTTCTCTGCCTGGAATACCCTCCTGTTGTCATTTACCTGTTCTACTCCTATTTTTTATTTATAAATCTTTAATGATGCAGCTCACATGGCATCTCTTTTTCACTATTCCAGATATTATATTGATATTGATTTCTTACACCTACCCAAGCTGAATGATCCTCCCTTCACAATAAATTATATCATTCCAATGTGTGACATTTATATATGTTATATGTGCAGAGTATGTGTGGTGATTGGTATAAGTATTAGATATAGATTATACATGGGTGAGATTTATGCTGTGTGTAGTTTAAGGTATTTTATGTGTGTAATGTGCTTATGCATATGATGAGAATGTAAATGTTTATGTACTAGTTGGGGAAAAGTTGTGACCCAGCCATTGGTTGTATGACATGCTGAATTTCACTCAGATTGGGTGTGGGGATGGGCAGAGCTGATTTAGTATAACATGTACTATGGTCCTAGCTCATAGTGTGTGCTCTGTTACATTGGTCTTCTCCCTTTCCCATCTTTTGGCTTGGTACTTTCTTTTTGACTTAGATAAAATCAACATCACAAGTGCCCATCAATATGTCCTCTCGCTGGCTTCAGAAGATAGAGATTTCTAATATAAAAATACAGGCTGTCATCAGCATGAAAGCTATAAATTCCCAAGATTATAAAGAACCTTCCCCATCAGCTAAGGAATGATGGAGATTCCTACTGGACTCATTTATTAAGAATATCACTAAGGCCCAGCTGCTGTTGCTCAGTGATTGATTGTGGACCCATGAACCATGAGTTCACTGTTCAATTCCCGCTCACATGCCAGCGTTTCAGGTTTGATTCCCAGTAGATGGCCTGCATGAGGCAGCCAATCATTGATTCTCTATCATCACTGATGTTTCTATTTCTCTTCCTTTCCCTTCCTCTCTGTCTAAAATCAATAAAAACATATTTAAAAATATATTTCTAAGGAGGGAAATGCAATTTAGCTGGAATAAGGCAGTAGTTTCCTGAGGAAAAATACACTCTGCAGAAGATATTAGTACAACTGAGTTTATCTGATAATAATCATTTTCACTTGACAGAGAAATAGGGTGGGGTTGGCAACTCTTCTTAGTAATGAGGCTCCAGACTTTAATTTTGTTGTAAGGAAGAGGAAGTAAATTGGGGGATGATATGTTGAGGACACAGTAAGTATAATCCACTAGAATTCTGTTTGCTAAGTGAGGGAGAGAGATACAGAGTAAGAGAAATATTTGCTTCATATAATTTTGCCTAAGGCAGGTATGGGGAGAAGAAATACCAAACATGAGAACCAAGATGGCGGCATAGGTTAACGCCGGAGATTGCTGCTTCGAACAACCAATTCAAATTACGCCTGAAACACGGAATGGACACCATCCAGAACCACAGGAGGGCTGGCTGAGTGGAAATTCTACAACTAGGAGCAAAGAGGATATCATACCCAGACTCAGAGGAGGCGCAGTGCTGAAGTGAAAT